CTAACAAGCAGTCCTATCTCATGGCTTTCGCGAAAGCATCATACTGTAGTTCTCTCTACAACAGAGGCATAGTATATCGCCCTGTGTCACTGGATGCAAGAGATGATATTCCTCAAACTTCTCCTCAAAGAACTTGGCTTTGCTACAACGCAGGCTAACGCTACATACGAGGATAATCAGAGCTGCATCAAAATCTGCTACAACCTCGAACTTCACGGACGATCAAAACATATACACGTACGATACTGTTTCGTGCAAGAAAAAGTAGAGCAGCATGAATTCAACGTCACCTACTGCAATACGAAAGAGAAGATAGCTGACATTTTTACTAAAGCTTTAGACAAGCACCAGTTCAGAGAACTAAGGGCCAAGCTCAGGATGAATTCCCTGAAAGTTGGATCCGGCCACACAATATAGAAATACACTAATAATACAACTGCATGAAGCGTGTCTTTATCCTGCGTTCTTTTTAGTTTTTTTTTTCCACTGGGTTGTATCTTTTTTGTTCGCACAAGGTTTTCCCTCGTTGAGGTTTCCCGGTCAAGTGCCGAATAATTTAGACACAAGAGTTTATACATAATAATCCACGCATAATAATCAATTTGCTGGGAAAGTTCATTATTAGTTAGGCAAACCTGCGAAAATCCCACTGACTCCTATCATTTAATTCTGCTTGCAGGCAATAAACGGACGAACAAATGCATAGAATTCAATCCAATCCTCCGTTGACTCGACAGGCTTACCTTCTTCCAAATCGTAGATAAGCAGGTTCTTGTCGTGGACTGTGAGAACGAAAGCATGCCCGACGCTTTGATGGTTATAAGCTGCAGCGACGTAAACACCATTCTTGATCTTGATCTCGCCGAGCACACGGACACCACGCCGACCAGGAACCGCGAAATTGTCCAACGTAATGGCTCTCTAAATGAAGTCACGACCAGCATCACGTAGACGACGCAAGAAGACGAGAACAACCTTACACGAAGTCCCCTTCGTCAAGTCATCTCCACGAGAACTCATCTGATGCTCCACAAAGTCGTCGATGTCCTTCTTCGTCACGATATCAGGACGGCCGGCTAATTCTGCTGCACGTCTCAACGCATTGAAAATGCAGAGTCCTTCCATGTCCGCACCGATAGCATTCTCGCCGTACTCATCGGTAGGCCAGAATTTCGCTAATGTCTTGACTTGGGAGGCTTTCCACCTGTCCATCAGCTCGATCTCTTTCCGGAATTCATCACCGAGCAGCTGGACACAAGGTTCCCATGTCCGCTGATAGTACCGTCGTCTCTTGACGAGAGGGTTAACCCACAGCACTTGATACTTGTATTCAAGGAGCGAATCACCACGCCTATCATTAATTCGAGCAACCTGCCACTTTTCCTTGGTTGATGCGTAATTTGCCGTGACAGTCAATTTGGATCGATCGTAATTATTGCCGTAAATGCGCCAGTACATCTCACAGTCGCTGCCACTATCAGTGTTTGTGTCGCTAGACACATAATCGGTGTCAGAATGTGTAAAATCTGTGGTTGCAGTGCAACAAATGGAAGAATCCTTTAATTCCCCCACTTTAGTGTGTGGTGGACACGTGGGCTGGAGAAGTCTCCTTCTCTTCCTCCAGCGCGGCGCTGAGAGCTGACGCAAGCTGCAGTGCTGTTCGTGACACCCGCTTCTTCTTCTCCCTCGTAGAAGAGCCCTTCGTAACTGGATAGGGCTCTGAGCCCACCGAAACAGCGTCTGTTAATGCTACCGTAGCTATTGAACCTTCTGGCACAGCTTCAGCAGCTGGTCGCCCAGTCTCAGAGACTGTTTCCGCCTCTGGAACGGCCTGAGAAGTCGTCGTGCACGATGCGACCGTCGCTGTGTGTGTGTGTGGAAGTGGCTCGAGCAGCGGCTCGTGCCTTCTTTCGAGCGCGCAGTCGCTTTGCGGTTGTGTCTCTTTTTCATGCGCAGGGGGGGGGGGGGCTGCTTCGTGGTAGTGGCAGGTACAGACGGCAAGTTGGTCTCCATCCTTGAATTCCTACCAGGTGTGTCGCTTAATGTCCTGCTTCCCTAGCAGAAAACTGCAGGGCCAAGTTGGATCAGCTTGCCTAAGCGACTTCCTTGGCGGCGTTTCAAGGACTGAGGAAATGTCCTGTAAAGAAAATTTACCTCTGTTATAACATAGCATTATCAGTTTGATAAAATTTGTTAAGAGGCAGG